GAATCTTTTTGAAAGTTTTCAGCACTTAAAAAATGACTCCATAGCAACCCTTTCACATCAATCTACACTCAAAACACTTGGCAAACAAATGAAAAACATAAAAATATCTACAAATAAATATTTACGAACAAACTGAATTTAATTTTTGAATTTTTTTTATCACAAAGCCGATTTCAATCCCCAGCAATGGCACCAAAAATTGATGTGTCACTCATAGGCATATCAATTATAAAACCGCACTAGTTATAGCACAAATTCACAAGAAAGTGGCCAAGTAGGGGTATCGATCCACGAAGATTGCGAAGCTTATGACAATCAAGTTTCAAAGATTAATTTCGTGCTTGTTAATGTCACAAAAGATGGTTGATTTGGTTGTTTTTCATTTGCATAAAAATTAAAATAAACTAAAATGAATTTAAAAAACAATTAAAGGGAGGCTAGGGAATTGAGTTCACTAAGACCTCATAATAATGCATACTTGTAAATAACTTGGGGATACAATTACGTGTGATGTTAAAAGTGTAAAAGTATAAAAACAACCATAACAATTTTCTAGAAAATCATGTAATTTAAGACAAAGCATAACCCATCTGCGGTTTGCATGCCTCATCCACCTAAACTAGGGTGTGGTATGAGCTATCTTCCTTAGGTATGTCCTACCAAGGTCTTAACATTACAAGTTTAGCCGGTGAAATTAATTCTCTAGCATAGACTATCTTTGATTGGCATGGACCATCTACCTAACTACTTTAATCTAGGGGTGTAGCATGGTCCATCTTCCCTTGGCATAATCTATCTAAATTCATATATAACATGCCTATAATCTCATTTCATGAATATCAATCTTCATTGTCACATATGAAAATATTAAGAGTATAAGTGTATAATCATGCTTCTAAAACAAGAGTTACATGGTGCATATACCTATATGTATAATTATTTTGCCCAGATTGTAAATCAATTCCATGTAAAAACACAAATTGAATAATACATCAACATCTTTATTCATGAAACTCATCACATACAAAAGTTTTTCCCAAATTAAATTACAAAACTATATGATTACATAATCGAGGCTACCTCAATCCCCTAGAAGGGGATTTAGCTCATCCTGGTGGTGGTAAAAGCTCCAATAGTCGAAGAGCAAGACTCCACCTTCAGCTCCATGGCAGCCCAAGCCAAGAACACTCAAGAACCTTAGTTATTTCTCACTTTCTCTCTCTAAAACTTCAAAATTCGAATTCTATATTGATATATCATATGTGATACAACTCTATACAAGTGTATATAACCCCCTCTGACAAAATTCAATTCAAAAACCAATAAAATCGTTCATTCATGTGGGGAAGAGAGAAAAAAGTAACTAAAATTTCAAATTATTTCAAAGCTCCGCAGGTTTACATCCGAACACCAAGAAGTGCATCCGGATGCCGAGTGTCCAGGTGCTCTCTTGGCGTACGCGTAGGGCGCTGGCTCACGGAGCTGTGGCATTGGGCGTTCGGATGCATTTTTAGCTAGCTACTAGAATTTCATTTTTCTCAACTTCTTCAATTGTTGATCATAGATTGTGAAGGGCGTCTAGACGCAAGAAATACACTAGGAGAGTGCGTCCGGACGCAAGGCTTGATACTTTGAAGTTGAATCCCCCTTTTGCTTAGTTTCCCAGGCTTAATTTCATTCTCAGGCTGAGTACGATCTTTAGGCTTTAAGTCCATTTTGCCGGGTTTCGTAGCTCGCCAAGTACCTTGTCCTCTAAAAGCCCTTAACATCCTACTTTTACACCGTTTTGGAGATAAACCCTAAAAATAATAAATAAACACAAAAGTGCATAAAACACACTTTATTAACATACTAAATAGACTAAATAATGCAATTAAAGGTGCTTGAATATGCAATATTCAGCGCTTATCAAGTTCATGGTGTCCACCAAAGCACATAATATATAAATTCCAATGTAAGAGATATCCTCATGTAAATAAGTTGTCATGTAATAAACATGGTAGACATGGTTTAAATCACAACACTTCGCATTTAGTTAAATTAAACCACATAACAATACACAATCATACATACAGTGAATACAACTTCCAAATTAGTACACTTAATAACATAATCATCATGCTTTATAGCACACAATATAGCATAGATTTCAATTTAAACAACAAACTACAATTAAAACTCAAGCTTGAAAACCCGAGAACACAATTTCCTCAAATTACACCTTAATAATCATGCTTTCAAGGGGAAAACAAAAAATTGATTACCACAACCTAGGATTATACAAGTTAGACAACCCCTACCTCAAAGCAAGCCAATCCCTAGCTTAGCTCCAACTTGAAATTCCACCAATTTACAATCTAAGCCCACCAAAGTGTAGAAGAAGAAGATGAGAACCACTTTCCATCTTGAAGCCACCCCAAAAACCCCCAACTTGCCTTGGCCGAAATCACTATGGTCTCCAATGGCCGCAATATATACACTATCATATAGCCCTCATCTTGATCTCTCATTTATCTAACTATAGCACCACCAAAATCCTAAGCTAAGGAGATGAAAACTAAGCTCCAAGGTAAGCTTCCATGGAGGAAAAAGAAAAGGAAGAAGAATGAGATAATAGAGGGAAATGAGGGGCCAAAATTTGATATTGGCCCCTTAGCCACAATTTTGGTTAAGGTGGATCCCACTTTGACCTCCAAAAACACCAAAATCTCTCCTTGAATGCATAATCACAACCTTTCCATCGAAAATATCTACCCACTAATATATACACAAAAATATATTTATAATTGCATCAACTAATCAATTAAGTGATTCAAAGAATTTCGGTAAGTCCCCAAGCATGGAAATCCGGGTGTAGAGCCCAAACGGGACCTCTTGGTCCAAAATTCCAAAAAATGGTAAAATAGCTAAAAATGCATTCTAAGAGTTCTAAACTCAGATAAATGTTCTAATCAACTCTCAGGACTCACATGACATGCTAAACAGGGTCCGGTATGTAAATTGAGGTACCTAAAAATGATGAAAATCAAAAATCAGAAAAATATCAAAAATTTTGAAAAAATCTGGGACGTCACAATTCTGTTTTTGCCTCGTTTGCCTGGCATATAGTATTGAATTGTTCATGCATCTCTTCACGCAATTTTTGTATGATCTCTAGCTACTGCATTTGAACGGCATATGATTCTGTTGCGATTCCGGAGTGGTGTCACATATATCAAAAAATTCAACGATATTGAGAGGCTTTTAGCAAGCTTCCCACAGACAGCACCAAAGTGTAGATGCAGAAATTTTCAGACCAAACGTGATAGTCCAGTCGGAGAGATTTCGCACTTGAACACTTATTCTGAAAACATATTATAAATAAAAAAGAGAAGAGAAAAATAACATCAAGGAAGGATAAGGGCTTATCGAGCCAAATCGTCCCTCTCTTTGTGTCTTGCCCTTGTATTTATACTTGTATAATGAGATTATTTTGTAGCCGTTATTGAGCGTTACATATATGGATTTAATTTTCTGCTAATTCCATGCGATCTACTTGTTGACCGTTACATCCTAGTCGTGTTGACTAAGGCTTCGAATTGGGCTTGTTGGGCTGAACCTAATTTCTTGGACTGAATCAACGCTTAGTCTGCTTCTTAGGGGCTTTTAACTGATTGACATGATTTGGGCTTCTTTCTTTGGCCCAAAGCGCTTACTCGACACTATTACTTGGTTTGCTGCCATGTGGTGGTTTGTGAGTGGTAAGAAAATTTCCCTCCACGTGTAAGTGACTTGGAATATAAATGTCAAATTTATAAATTCAGTGGGCATGCAAACATCGCATATCAATAATAATAATAATAAATATCAAGATCTAGTGGTATTACGTCTTTACTTTCCAAAAAGAGATTAGGAATTCAAGCCTCAGTGAAGCATGTAAAAAAAAAAAAAAAAAAAAAAAAAAAAAAAAAAAAAGAACATATCAATAATAAATTATAAAAGAACAAACTTAAAAGAGAATTAATTCCTTAATAATTAGAAAATGCATGAAGTCAATCAGGTCGTACTCAGATTGCTTAATTATATATATTTATATATATGTTTGGATGGGTCAGAATATATATATAATAAATTTTGTCCTAAACTGGCTCTTATAAGCTGGTTACGGCTCTTCTCAGTTGCGATCTCCATGAGTATGAGATTGTGAATGATGACTGAATCTCTGGCTGTCACCTTTAAAGCAAGAGCCACAACTGTCAAACTAGAAGACGATTCCATATAAATTTTTCCTGAGGAAGGAGTAGGACTTCTTAAACTCCTGCGGGGCTCTGCGGTAATCAGCAGCCGTGTCTTGGAAGATCTTCCTGCAGGTGGAAAGGCATTTGCCTTCTTCAGCCGGCACAGATGTACCTTCGCTCAGACACTTGTCGACGATCTGTAAATTAACCTCCCTCCGCACTAACTTGTCCCTTGGGCGATAAGTACTGGAAGAGAGTTTCGTTACGGGGATGATCGGAGAGGGTGGGTGGACTCAGGTCAGGTTGCCCCTCCACTGAGAAGGATGACGACGACAACATCAGGAGGAGGGAGGAGCAGTCACGAGGAGAAAAGATTAACGTTGTCGATGAGCTCCGTTGTCACTTTTCAGTCTAGTAGGTTGAGGATGGAAGTGGAAGGTAGAGGAGGGGATGTTTTTATGGAGAAATGGGTGGAAATAAAACGGGGAGGGATGGGTTTTAACCTAAAGTGCCTTTAAAATGGTTAAAACCATCTGGCTTTGCCTTGGCCATAGTTTTTCATTGTGAAGGTAGTTTATGAAAAAATTCAGAACTCAACCAAATGACCTATACATATATAACAAACAACGTCATTCTTTCATTCACCTCATCCCCTGTCAAAACTAACACCTACTTTGTATAGACAGACGGACACCCCAATTGAAATCATAAATACAGTTTTGCTACTCTCATATATATATATATATATATATATATATTGAATGTGCATAAAAAAATAAAAAATAAATAAAAAAATTTAAATGCATATGCATGAAGCAATAAAGTTTTCTGATCAGCTGAACAGACAATATAGTTTTCCACAGTTCACCTAACACAACTTCTCGCATTTTCAAGATTGATTTTGAAAGAAAAGAAAAGATTTAAAAAAAAAAAAAAACACTAAAAAATATTACATGAACCAAGGAAATAAAATACCAAAAGAAAAAAGGAATTGATTGGATACATTTAAAGCCAATCCAATAAAACAGAGCTACCAGGCATATGTACACACTTCATCCACCGTGTAGAGAAACAATCACTGTCTAAGGGTAAACCAAAAAATGTGCTACACATTGGATTCTGGTAAAAGGACCTATTCTCAACCCCCACACTCAAACATTCATATAAGCCCTTGCCATTTCCACAAATCTTAGTCAGATATCTCCACCTTCAAATGGGAAGTCAAAAGAGCTTTAAAGCTCACCGGCCTTCATGAAGATCCTCAGAGAATAGGGCTGTCCGAGAGATGTTGTCATTATCAAAGCCACTTAGACCAGAGTAACGACCAGAAGAAAATATTGAAGATGTACCATCTGACTCAAAGGTAGTAGATGACTGCCTAAGGTTGGGCCTGGTGTTGGAGTTGTTTAACATGGAATCCTGATACTCCATAACTCGCTGAACCATTTTAAGTGATTGTACCACTTCCCCCATAGACGGCCTTTGGCCAGCCTCAGGTGCAACACAAGCAGCCGCTATCGTGCACACCCGCACAAAATCTTCCTTTGGGTAATTTCCTGCTAGCCTCGGATCAGCAAGTTCTTGTAATCTATCCTTATCTCTGAGTATTGGCCTGGCCTGAAACCATCAACGCCAAAGTTTTCTCACATTTCGTTCAGAATAATAATAGTCCACGAACAATAGAATGTATTTTTTTCTCATTTGAAGATATAATAATAACAATACTAATAATAATAATAATAATAATAATAAGTGAATTGCTTCTTTTTTTCCGGAAATAGTGAATTGCTATTTCCAGAGACAATATGGTTGTGGCCACAGCGCTGCACTGCACTTCTCATAAATGAGGGATGAATTTGCACTTGGCAGCTATATTGGCTGCAGGAAGAATGAGATGATGTCCAGAACCAGAACCAGAACCAGAACCTGTGATGATTCTATAAGATTGATATAAAGGAATGATAGTTTGATCTAATCATCAATATTACTAACCCAAGTAACAAGGTTCTCCTTTCCAGATGGCTGTGACATATCCACGGGCTTCCTTCCAGTCAGTAACTCAAGTAGGACAACTCCATAGCTGTAGACATCACTTTTTACCAGTAGATGTCCAGTCATAGCATACTCAGGGGCTACATACCTGTAAATCAGCTTCATTTCATCTTAATGCCAATTCATCTTTGGAAACAAGGAGTTTAAGAAGAGGATAGAGTACGACTAACCCGAATGTCCCCATCACACGGGTAGACAGGTAATTTGCCCTGCCTTCAGGTGCCTGTTTAGCAAGGCCAAAATCAGCAACTTTAGCATGAAAGTTGTTCTCAAGTAATATATTGGATGACTTGAAATCTCTATGAATAACACAAGGTTGGGAGTCCTCGTGCAGGTATGCAAGTCCTCTTGCAGCATCAAGAGCAATCCTCATTCTGGTGTCCCAATCCAGAGGACAATTTACTCCCAATGGACCTGAAGTAAGATAAGGCCATTGTCAAGAATGTGTACCAAACTATTAAAAGAAATAGAATTAGTTATTCCCAATCCCAATCCACTATAACTTTTTTCTTTCTCAAACTTCTTCAGCAAAAATTCATTCTTCAGTTCTTCACTTAAAAGCAACTCCAATAAAATGCATTTAGAAACCTTAAGATGACAAAAGAATCTGTGATATTGTATTACCATGGAGCCAGGCCTCCAAACTTCCATTTGGGACAAGCTCGTAACAAAGGAGGTTCTGTGAAGAATCACGATTACTGTAATAACCCACAAGTTTCACAAGGTTACGGTGATGCAACCTACTAAGCATCTCAACCTCGACTAAAAACTCCTTATCCCCTTGTTGCCCTCCACTAGTAAGCCTCTTTATTGCTACAGCTGTACCATCATTTAAGACGCCCTTGAAAACTCTACCAAACCCACCCTCTCCAAGTATGCTAGCAGGTTCAAAGTTATTTGTTGCTTCTTTGAGTTCTTCATATGCAAGAAACCGTGTACTCGTTGGGTGGGGAAGAGATCCTGCTGCTGGAATGGTTGGGTGGGGAAGTGATCCCGCTGCTGGAACTGCATCCACAATCCTTGACTTTGCTATATAAAGAAAGAAGAATAAGCATAGAAATGGTAAGATGCAAGCATCATCAAATTCATTTGGGATTTCTTCCAAGGAAAAGATGATACACTCAGTATGATGCAGCAAACTCAGGCAAAACAGCCTGATGGAACCAATGTCCAGAAAACTTAGTCAAAAAGCATCCTATTCAACAGCATTTAAACATTCCCCATGGAAATAAGATCATTTTAGTTTGCCTGTATGGTATATTCAAGATGTTCACCCATTATTACGAATCCATCAAGAATCAGATACATGGATGGATTTTTTTTTTTTTGGAGGGGGGGGGGGGGAGGGGGGGCTGTTGGAATTCTAAAAATTCCAAGATACCATTTCTTGTAAACTAAAGAATGGTCCAATACATAATATTGAATAAGAGAACTAAACATGCAGATTTATTCAAAAGCATGATGCAGCAAACAAAGGCAAAACAGCCAAACGAAACCAATGTCCACAAAACTTAGTCAAAAGCATTCTATTCAACAGTGTTTAAACATTCCCATGGAAATAAATCATTTTAGTTTGGCTTCTATGGTATTTAAGGTGCTTACCCATGATTACAAATCCATCACAAATCAGATAGATAGATGAGGAGCGCATGCGCGAGAGAGAGAGAGGAATTCAAATATAGAGCGCTGCTAACCACAGTCACGGGGCAACTGTGGCACCTAAGTCGCGGGCTACACATCTGACGCGTGTTACAACGTTTTCCAAGAGAGATTTATATATGCAGGCATTTTTTTTGGGTTTCCCAATCTTTTTAAGCACCATTTTGTCCTCCTAAAAGACCCATTAGCGGTGTGTTTTTTCTCTCTCTAAAAATCTCACGCTCTCTCTCTCTCTCGAAAAATCTCATGTTCTCTCTGATTTATCTTCAAAGTTCAAATCTGAACCTTTTTTTTTTTTTTTTCTTCTTCTTGAGATTTGATAGTCCTTGCTTTCTCTTTCTAAAAATCTTGCTGTCATGAATTGTCCACTGAAAGATGTTGGAGAATAATGCTTAAATCACTCCTTGACAGGATGTTAACGTTGTTATACTTGGGCAACAAGTTGTTGCCATATTTGTATTTGACTTTTTGTGTAGTTCCTTTATTATAGCTACAAGTCTTCCCAATTCACCGATAAATAGAGTTGGTTATTCTAAACAAAATTACGAGAGAATGTAATGAAAGAAATGTAGCCCTTTGGGCTTTGTGTGTCGTGGATGTAAGCCCTAGTGGCTGAACGACGTTATATTCTTGTATTCTTCATATTATAATCTCTCTCTTCAACTTTTGTTTTTCTTTCAACATGGTATTCAAAGCAGGTTTATCATACCCTACTCTATACTCTACTCATCTTGGATCTTCGGATCAACTTGTCTCCAGATCAACTTATTAACACGTGTCAAAATATTTTATTTCATATTAATGAAATAAAATAAATAATCAAAAGGAAAGAGCTGAAGTTGCATTCTTGTCACATACCAGGTTCTTTTGAAGATGCTTGTTTCTTTCCTTGATAAGATGTACATGAACAAATTATAAGCACAGATATAATAGCAATGATTAAGATGCCAGCACCAATTCCAACAATAAGAATTAAACTTTGATGTTTCTCTTTGCTTGAAACAACAAGTGACGTAGGAGTCGAGGGCAGATGTGGAGGTGCTTTTGCAGGTGACATAGCAACAAAGGGAGCTGCACAAAAGAAATGAGATGAAAAGCTATTAGAATTTTAGCAAAAAAATTAAACCAAAAATTAAGATGCTACTAAAAAACCTCAGTTTCAAATTCATAAGATGGCATTAATTATATTCATGTACAAACAACCTCTCCATGGTTGTAAAGATTAATTTGAAACCAAAAAAAAGAAAAAGAAAAGGATGGCAGGTATATGAAATTTCAATTTTCTAAAAAAGTCTGGATTTCAGCTATTTATAGAGGAGCATTTGCATGTCACTAATCTGCAACTTGAAAACTGCGTTACTTTGCGCTTGGGACAAATTTAAAATTTCATTAGTTGGTAATGGCACTAGTTATATTCATTAGTTGTGAATGGCATTCTAAATATCATGTGATCTATTTATAAATATGGGAGCATTTGCATGCCACTAATTTGAAACTTGACAACTGTGTTACTCTGTGCGTGTCCCATTTTTGGATTTTTATTTTTTAATTATTATTATTATTATTAGGTTGATAAAAAATAATATTACTCTTAATATCTTAAAGTACAACATCACATATATAAATATATATATTTATTATTCGCCGTCGCCGTATCCTAATTTTTTAGGATTTGCCGTGTCCGTGTCGTGTCGTGCATCCGTGTCCGTGCTTCTTAGAAGGAAATAAATAAAAGCAAGCAGTGGAGCCGTCACAGAGGAAAGTTCACCCATGGGTGTGCAATTCTGTCTAAAGCCATTAATGGTTTCAGTTGCCACCACCCTTTTAATAGCTTGACCAAAAGAATTATGGTGGTGATGAAGCCACTTTCATTGCCAACAACCACAACAAATAACCTAAACATTCTATAAGCTCTTTATTACATAAAAGATCATGTGTGCATAGCCTTAATAAAATTGTGAATTTAGAAAAACAGCCCTCGTATAAAGGTAGAAGAAGGAATAAATAAAAGAAAATATTGGGGCTGCCTTAGAGGAAGTTCACCCACGGGTGTGCAAATCTGTCTAATGCATTTCAGGCTTTTCATGGTTTCAATTCCCATCCTTTTAATAGCTCAACAAAAAGGATTATAATTGTGATGAAGCACTTCCAATGGCAACAATCTCAACAAATAAAATGTTGTATATACTCTGTGAATGACCAAACTTCTGCTCTCCATAAACAAAATTCAAGTGAAATGAGAAAAGCAAATTTTTTATTTTTTTCATATTTTTTTAAAATATTCCCTGTGCTGGAAGGTTTTTTCTTATTTTGCCAACTTCCAGTTTCTACACATCCAAAGGTGGTGCAAAGCAACCTCATTTGGCACGCAGAACAAGATTCAACAAAGTTTTACTTTGCCTGCCTGAAGGTCCTAAACAAGGGGCAGTTCCTGATTTTTAGGTTTCTAATAGCCAACATGATTCAGTTTTCAAAACACCCATAAAAGTACTGGGTCACATATTCCGAATGCAACCTATGACAAGGAAAGAAGAGCTCAAGTTTTGGAGAAAAAAATTAAAATTTTACTCATCAAAAATAATAATAATAATAATAATGTTTTGGGTGAAAAACAATGTTGCAACAACAGGGCCTTTTTCCATTCTACTGGGGGTTGGCTAAAATGAATCCTTTTGTCCATTCTATTGATCTATTCTATCCAAGGCCATAACCTCAGCCAGACCACATGTTAATATATTTTTCCTTACTAACTCTACCCCACGTTAACTTTGATCTTCTCCTTATTACCCTCAATATGGACCATGACACTTAACTAATTGGCAAACTTACTGATTTTTTTTTTTTGGAACATGTCCAAACCATCTTTAGTCCATTTTCTCTCAATTTATCTCCAATAGCTAGCTCATTTCTAATTCCATCCTTTCTTATCTTGCCACACATTCATTGCAACATTCAGATTTCTGCCACATTTTATGCATATGACCATATGTTATTTCTTAACTTGCCCAACATTCTTTCTCATCAAGCAAAGCTGGTCTAGTTGTTCTACAGAACTTCCTTTTCAATCTAATCAAAGGGAAGTTAATTTATCGGCCCTCTCCTCACAATTTTAACAATATTGTTCAAAAGAGAGGTCAAATGCATCTAAAGTCGTACTCTATATTTGTAGCTACAGCTAATGATGAAACATAGGTAATTATATTACACTACAGTTGTTTGTTTCATGAGTTGCAACTGGCAAGCAGCCAAAAGCAATATGTAATCAATAACCATAAGACTAAGATATTTCCAGTCATTCTAACATAATGAAGGCATAGCATCTCAAACATGCATGACTGCAAGAAAAATCCTGAAAGCCTGACACAAAAGGTGAAACTTACCCTCAGCAGGAGCTGACGGCTTAAACCAGGTCATATTGAGAAGTTTGTAATCACCGAACAATGTAGGGTCTAGACGAACCCTATGAAGGGAAAGCGAAGAGTTTATTGCAGATGCTTCACCGGCAGAGAAACTGATCCCCGTGTGCGGAGTAATGTCCATAGAAATATTAAGTCTTGACAAACTGAGTACATAAAAGTTGATCAATTCGATCTGAGAAACCCGCAAACCAAGTTGGGAAGAAAACTCTTCTAGAAAAGCTTTCCCATTTGGATTCGATGAGACATTCAAAAGAAGAAGATCAAGCTTTATTGGATAAACGCAGTGGCAACCTTGGCTCCCTCGTTTTAGCACCGTGTATGGTTCACAGCAGTCTGGCAGAATGAAAAACCAACTCCCATGTTAATATCAAAGTAAGATGCAAACATAATCTAATATCTAGTAAAGTCGAATAAATTAGTCCGAAAAATTGATGTGTGTTAAGTAAAGGAGCGGATAAGTGATCCACTCATGCTTCCCATTTGATTAAAATATTATACTATTATAGGAGGTATAATTGTTTAAAAGCATGCAAGGTAAGTAACTTTATGAACAAATCATGCAAATGTTATTTGGAAAATAGAAAATGGCCAATAAAATAAAACTAAAGGAAAGGGAACTAGAATTATATATCTTACTGGATGTGTAAGGAGATAGTGGTGGCTGTGCTAAACCAGTAGGAACTGTACCAGCAGTGGACTGCGTTGGGGCAACATCTGCCAAGTGTGGAGGTGCAAGACCGACAACAGGTGGCACTAATCCACTCTTCTTCATTGATGGTTTTGACAAACGTGAGCTTGAAGGCGGGTGAGTAGTGGTTACCAGTGGTCCATAATTTGGAGGCTGAGTAGGTGCACCATGAGGCGAAAATTGCTTCCAATGTGGTTTATGAAACAAAGGCAAATTGGCTGGCAGGGGGAGATCAGAAATAGCAGGCGCAGCTAAAGGCCCACTAGTTGGAGATAACAACTTTGCTTTGAATACATTATCGGGTAAATCGGCATCAGTGATGTAGAACACATAACATAAAATGAGCAACTGTTTCAGGATTAACCACTGGACCTTTTTCAATACCCCTGAAATTCATATTAAATGAATGTACCACAAATAAGAAAACAACATCAGTAATAGGGAAAGTACAAGCCTACATATCGCATAACCGGAGCCCAACAACAGAGCAGATGGATGCTTGTTTGGCATGTGATTTATTCATCCACCAAGGATCACAGAGATGCAATGCACTATGCATCTCAGATATACATCTTTTTTATGATGAGTGTACGAAAAGAAGTTAAAAAATTAAACATATTTTTCATTCTTATTTTTCAATAGAGATGGGGCGTTTCAAATCTGGCATCTGCTAAATTTATCAGATATTTCATACTTTAATCACCAAGAATTTAATTCCCTCTCACTTTAGCCTAATTCAACTTCTAAGCTTAGTTCACACAAGTTTCTAGTTTTCTGACCACAGGAACTCTAGCCCAATGGTATGATGTCTCCCCATTTGGGGGGAGGTTGAGAGTTCAAGTCCCACTAGGGACATGTTACGGATAACGGGTGTGTGTGTGTTTGCTTTAACTTCCCAAAAGAAAATTATATATATATTTATATAGTTTTCTGGAAAATGAAAGGACACGATGGTTTATGAAACAAAAGAAGTTTTGTCATACCACATTAGGTCTTCTCCTGGTCCTAAAAGAAGTTTTCAAGATTAGGTTTCTAGATCACTGATTAAAAATATACCGACTGATGGTAAGAAGGATCCCTGTGGTATTATTATTTGCTCTCTATAGGCCCTATAATGCCCACCATGAATGAAAGGAATAACTATGTCTCAAGGTTTCTTAAAGATGTGACTGTTAGCAGTATGATTTCAAATAACCAAAGGGCAGTGAATTTGGCCCATGGCCAAACCACTTATCTTCTTGAGTTGAAAAGAAGTTCTTCAACTACTTTGGTTCTTAATATTAATCATCCAAACAAAATCAGATGGTTGTGTTCTTTCTCTGGTTCATTTTTCACTTCCTCTTCATGGCTTGCCATAGAGCTGCTAAAGCGAAAAGTTTTCGAGCACATCCTCATTATAGTTCTATCCCATTATGACCTAAGAAGCACGGACATTTCTATGAGGTGTCATATCCATGTCCGATACCGTGTTGGACACCGACACTCCAAGATACATGTCCGACACTTCATGGCCATGTCCATTATTTAAAACAAATTTTATTATTTTTGACACCTGGCCGACATCCCAGACACTTGGTTGACACATCTTGGACACTCGACCAACACATCCTACACTCTTCGTCTTTATATAAAACAAACACAAAACAACATTATGAACATATACCAAAGTTCAGCCTATAAGGAACAAAAACATAATTATAATGATAAGATAAGATAGTAATATCATATATAATACGTCTTCTTTTCGAAATCCGAATAGCATCATCTTCTAACTTACGTAATTTTATTATAGAATTTATGAATTTATTAAAGTTATATAATTGCCTCATTCAATAGATATGGGGAAAATTTAAAATACGACAAGTTAATCTCATGCATTTCAAATACGACCATATCCAAATAGTATATGTGTATAAAGCCACCTTAACAAAATGTATTACAAATATGACAATTTTACTCTTACCAATTTTGTGTTTGTGACAATTTTACACTAATAATTTCATCTTTGACAAACACCTATATATTTACCCATCACCAATAATTTAAATGACCTCTTCCTCAAAATCATAAACCACCACCACCACCCACCAGTCCCCCCCACCTCGACCACCATACCACCGCCCAAGTAATCAAAAAGACCACCACCACCACCACCATCCTCTCAGGAGAACCACCACCCACCACCGTCACGCTTCTGACCACCATACCACTGCCCAAGTAATCAAAAAGACCACCAAAAAAAAAAAAAAAAATTTGAACTAAAAGGCTAGACCACAACCCATGAACCAACACCATCCAACACCACTCAGCCACAAAAACTCAGAAAAATGAACTGAAAGGCTAGAGGCAAATTGGAATTGAGAATCTGACATATATACTCGCATACACACATACACATATATATATCACCATCACCATCCACCCCCACCATTTCTCTCCGGCGAACCACCACCACCACCACTACCACCACCGACCAAGAAGACCCAAGAGCCCACTGTTGCAACCCCATCAAAACCCCAAACAGCCACTGTTGTTCAGATTTTTTTTTTCCCAAAAATCACATAACAAAGCCAAACCAAAAAAAAAAAGCCTCAAAAATTGACAGAGGAGAGGCGTCCATGGCAGTCACCGTTTTCCAGTGATGCACTAATTGGTAATATCTCTTTTTTTACTTCAAGTTCCTCAGCAACCAAACAAGATCTGCTCCAAAAAGTTGTTATAGGTCCACAGGGGTCCGTGGTCTCCAGCAATGACGGATTTTTCATATTTCATTGACTCTCACCATCTCATTGATCTTCCAATGGAAGGAAATCAGTTCATGTGATCTAGTGGATGGGATTCACCAACGTTGTCAAAGTTGGACAGATTTTTGATCTCGGGATATTTGGAGGAAATGTTCCCAGATGTTTCTCAGGTGGCTTTAGCCCGTGCTATTTCGAACCGCATCCCTATTCTTCTTAATTGTAGAGGGGCGAGGAGAGGGAGATCGCCTTTCCGGTTTGAAAATATGTGGCTCCTGGTTGAAGACTTCGAAGATAGGGTTCGGCTTTGGTGGACGGGGTATGAGGTTGGGGGCAGTCCGAACTTTCAGTTGACCTCCAAGCTAAGGTTGTTGAAGAACGATATCAAGAAATGGAACAAAGAAGTGTTTGGTAAGTATGAGTGGCGAAAGAATAGGATCCTACTGGAAATCTCAGATTTGGACAGAAAGGAGGGTGAGGAGGGCCTATGCAGCAGGGATATAAGTAGAAGGGAGGAGTATAAGGTTGAGTTTGGGGAGATTGTGGAAATGGAGGAGATCTCATGGAAACAAAAGTCTAGAGCACTCAGGGGCTTAAGGAAGGTGATCGGAAAACAAAGTTTTTTCACCGAATGGCCAATGCACACAGAAGATGTAACCACATTGGGAGAACGCAATTTAATGGGGTTACGGTGTCCGGTGAAGATGAGATCCAAGAAGGGTTCGTGTCTTTTTACAAGTAGCTGTGTTTGAGGAGACTTCCAGTTCGAGGCCTTTACTTGATGGGCTTGATTTGAAGCAATCTCGGAAGGTGATAGAGACGGGATTGAAATGCCATTTGGGGAGGAAGAGGTGTTGGCGGCTCTGAGGAGCTGCGATGGGGATAAAGCCCCTGGGCCGGACGGGTTTACTTTAGCTTTCCTTCAACAGAATTGGGTGGGGGCATTGGATTCTTTTTTTCTGCATGGTTCTTTTGAGAAGAGCATCAATGCTTCCTTCATCCCTCTGATTCCCAAAAAGGGCGGAGCATGTGAGACGAAGGACTTTAGACCCATTAGCCTAGTTGGGGTGGTGTATAAAATTATTTCGAAAGTCTTAGCCATTCGGTTAAGGAGAGTTCTCGATAGGGTGATCTCGGACTCCCATAATGCGTTTGTTGGAGGGCGTCAAATTCTGGATTCAGTTTTGATTGCTAGTGAATGCATCGAGGCTACGGAGAGAAGTGGTATTCCGGGGGTTGTTTGCAAGCTGGATATCGAAAAGGCTTATGATCATGTTTGCTGAAATTTTTTGATGTACCTAATGGAGAGAATGTGTTTTGGGCAAAAGTGGAGGGCGTGGAATTTTTTCTGTATTTCGACTGCTCAGTGCTCTGTTTTAGTGAATGGATCCCCAGCTGGTTTGTTTGCTAGTTCTCATGGCTTGAGGCAAGGGGGCCCTCTTTCCCCATTCTTGTTTATTATCATCATGGAGGCTTTTAGCCGTCTGATGGGGAGGGTGGGAGAACTTTGGTTCATTCATGGATACTCGGTGGGTAGAGCTACAAATCAGTTGGTCATCTCCCACTTGCTTTTTGCAAATGACACCATTGTTTTTTTGTGATGCTAGCCTCCTTCAGTTGAGGTATTTACAATGCGTGTTGGTCTTCTTCCAAGTTGTTTCCGGGTTGAAGATTAACATTGCGATAAGCGAGATTGGGGAGGTGGATGATATTCATGTCTTGGCTGATACTCTAGGGTAGTGGTGTTGGATCTCTTCCGATCTCCATACTTAGGACTCCCTTTGGGAGCCTCATCGAGGAGAGCTTCTGTGTAGCGATTGTTGAGCGGTTTGAGATGAGGCTTGCAGGTAAGGAAGAAGCAATACTTGTCCAAAGGGGGGAGGGTTACTCTTATGAAACGCACTCTCAAATCTACCGACCTACTATATGTCGCTCTATCCGATACCTAAGACAGTAGTTCGAAGACTCGATGATATTCAGAGGAAGTTTCTGTGGGGCAATTTAGGAGATGAGTTCAAGTACCACTTGGTTAACTGGGAGAAGGTGTGTTCCCCTATTAATAAGGGGGGTTTAGGGATTCAAAGGATAGATGTGTTTAATAAGGCATTGTTGGGCAAATGGTTGTGGAGGTTCGGGGGAGAGAGGTCTAAGCTTTGGAGGCGTGTTATAGCTTGTCATTACGGGGAGGGTGATGGAGGGTGGATTTCTAGGGAGGCTAGAAACCCAACAAGTATCGGCTATTGTAAACTAATCCGTAGAGGTTGGGATGAATTCTCCAAACATATTCAGTTCAAAGTTAGAAGCGGGAGAAATGTCAAGTTTTGGGAAGACAGATGGTGTGGGGATTCAACTTTTGCTAGTAGATTCCCTCGTATTTATGGGATTGTTGTGTTTAGAGATGTTGTGGTTGTTGATTATTATCGTCTTAATAATGGGAGGGTGACTTAGGATGTGCAGTTCCGTAAACAGTTTCGTGATTGGGAACTTTTGGAGGTTACAGACTTCCTAGCCTTCATTTATAGCCAGGTGGTGGTCGGGGTGGGCATGGACGAGATGCTGTGGGTGGGTACGTCGAGAGGGGTGTTCGAGGTTAAGTCCTTCTACAAATTTATGTTGGAGCGTCCTGGCCCATGTTTCCTTGGAAAGCAATTTGGAGGATGAAAGCTCCACTGAAGGTGGCATTCTTCTTGTGGACTGTTGCTTTAGGAAGCATCCTTACCATTGATATCCTCAAAAAAATAAGTCATATTGTGATTAACCGGTGTTATATGTGCAAGAAGATGGGGGAATCTGTCAACCATCTCCATATTCATTGCTTAGTGGCAAGGGATGTTTGGGCTATATTTTTTGTTACGTTTGGTCTTCCATGGGTGTTCTCAGAATCCACAGTCGACTTATTAAAGACTTAGAAAGGGTGTATAGTGGAGAGCCGAGTCAGAGATGCTTGGAGGGTCACACCCCTTTGTATTTGGTGGGTCTGTGGCGCGAAAGAAATAGGAAATACGTTGAAGGTGAGGAGTCTCCCATTTGGGCTATTAAATACAATATTCTTACTTCTTTATCTTTTTGGGTAAATGGGCGGGATTATAATTCAATGGATTATCTTTTGAATTTTGCGGATAGCTTAAAGATATAGTGTTGATTTTGGTCGGTTGTTGTCGTCTTTGGGAACACTCCCCTTTTTAGCGTCTTTTATAAAATCTTACTTAATAAAAAAATAAATAAATAAAATAATGATCTTGGCAACCTGTTGACTGCGATTTATTCATTGGGAGCTTTGATTGCACAATCTTGACAACCTCAGATGCGATCAAAGGCGATTTTTGGGTTTGATTTAGAAGAGTCTTCAACTATGATTTAGGAGGTTCATCGCCTCTTGACCGGTGCCGATCGGAGTACCGATGCCCCAATCAACTACCACCATTTGGTCCATTTCTACCACCGACTACGGCGCAACCTCCACTGCCACAGGACGTCATGGGTCTGCGATGTTGGGTTTTGGGGTTTGTTCGGCAATGTGGGGTTTTGGGTTTGTTCTGCCATGGCGAGAACCTATGGTAAGGTGGGTGGGCGTTAACGGTGATGATGAATACTTATGGGCTAATTGGGGTGGGGTGGGGTGGGGTGGGGTAGTCGACGATGGTAGGGGCGGTGATGGTTCGCCAAAAAGAAATGGTGGGAGTGGATGGTGGTGGTGATATTATATATATATAGAGAGAGAGAGAGAGGGGGGGGATGAAGTGGTATAGAGAGAGAGGATGTGGATGAAAGTTTTAAAAGATAAGAGGGTAATTTGGACCAAAAGAATATTTTTACCTTTTTTGTAATTATTTTTGTTTATTAGCTCTTTCACCCATATATACTATTTGAATACTATTGAAATATATAAATATTTCTATATAATTGTGGAGCAAAATCATTTATCAAAAAATAATAATAATTGTGGAGCAAAATCCTCCACCAATCACGGTGATCCAATCAATTTTCTTCCAACTATAAATAGTTCTATATAACGGTGGAGCGAAATCCTCCACCAATCACGATGCTTCCTTTAACTATTGTACACTTTCCATATTTTCTTATCTTTACCATGCCTATATATAGGCTCTTTGTACTCCGGCAATATATACATCTGAATAATAGAAATGTAGCCATTAGGGACTCTTTATGACGTGGATGTAGGCCTTAGTGGCTGAGCCACATAATATATGTGTGTTCTTCTTATTTCATTTCCCTTTTCCCTTCTATTTCATTATTTACAACATGGTATCCAAGCCCAATTTCTCTTCCTAGGTTCGGACCCCTATTTTGGGGTATTCCCTTACCATCTGAAATGTTGCTAAGGGTTTCTCGGTGTTATTTATGACTTGTTTAGGCTGTCGGTTTGTTCGGTAATAATGTTCTTCACCTTTGCCGAGTCTCCGACAATTTTTTATTGACTTGTTTGAGCTGCCGGTGTGTACGGTAGCACTTTCTTCATCTTTGTCGTGTCTTCGGCAATTTTTATCGACTTATTTGGGCTGCCGGTGTGTTCGGTGGCATTGTCCTCGCCTTTGCCGTGTTTCCGACAATTTTTGTTGACCTGTTTGGGTTGTCGATGTGTTTGGTAACATTGTTCTTCGTCTTCTCTCCTCTCTCTTCATCATTCACACTTGTTACTTGTCATCTCAATGGCAAATTAGGCATTCATGCTCCAACTTGAGGGGGAGTATTGAAGATTTAATAAAGGAAGTGAAGAAATCTTTCAACAAGTGATGTTGTTTCCTATTATTGAAGATTTGGTGTTACTAGAGGAATCAATAAAGAAAAATCCTCCTTGTTTCCTATTTTCTAATTCTTTCCATTCTCATAATTTCTTCTCCTATATTACTTATCAAGAAAAATAATAATATCTTCTCCTATATAAAGGAGCTTCCACCATTATATTGTATGAGAATTGAGAAGTATTATAAAAGTGGTGTAGCCCTTTGGGCTCTTTGTGCCGTGAATGTAGGCCTTAGTGGCTGAGCCACGTAATATATGTGTATTCCACTTGTTTTATTTATCTCTTCGCTTCCGTTTTATACTTTACAACATTATCTCTTCGCTTCCATTTTATACTTTACAACAAATACGATCATATTTGTAATTGTTACGACAAATGCAGCGCACCCAAGATAGAATCAAGAATCACGACAAAAAAGTAAACATGCCACACAAAGAATATAAAGATTTATACGTGGTTCGACAACAGCCTACGTCTACGACAGAGATCCGGCGAAAGTCTTCACTGTGTAAAATCGGAAATTACAAATTTTCAGCCCCACTCTGTTTCTGTATGAATTTCAGAGTCTCTCTCTTACACCACTCCAAATCCTAAGCGCCCTTGTATATCGGGCTACAAGAGACCAATTAGTGTCCACGACCCATGAGCAAAAACCGGGTCAAACATCACAATAATGTATCCAACATAACTTGTCATTTATTAAATTTTCCCATAGATATATAAATGAAAATTTATATTTTTAATAGCTGTGTCCTTGTCCTACTTTTTTAGAATTTGATTTGTCAGCAGCGCATCTGTGATATCTTGTGTCTGTGTCCCGTGTCCGCATCCATTCTTCTTAGTTGATGACTATAACGAAGAGACTTAGCACTCGGAAAAGCTAAAGTGCACAGTATCATCTCAGTCAATTGTGTTTTTTTTCTAGATTTCAAATGGATGAGCATGACCATTTACATTTTACGAGTCCTTTAACATTTTAAACAAGGCATCTTCTGTTCGAGAGAAGTGATATACCTTGGCAAAATAGAGGATGGAAATTAACTATAGAACTAGAAGGATGTTGATTCTTTTAAGTAACTTTTTTGTTGATTATTGTTGTTAGGCTCTCTCTAGCATCTGCATTCTAATACATATGGGAAGAAAATAATGAAGTTTTAATGTGACCATAAATATATAACAACCTTATGAAAGAGATTTTTAACAGAAGTCATAGTATTTTGTTGGGTATGAAAACACTCACCACACCATGGATTCCTTAAATAGATATTGGAACCTAGAAGCAAGAAATTTTGCAGTTTGAGCGGTTTCCCTTTAGGTGCAAAGGGTAGCTAATAGTAGTGTGTGTAGGTTTGTGGTTTGCTGATATTAAGTATATTTGGTTGCATATTTTTTATTATTTAACAAAACCCTTCTCACCAAAAAAAAAAAAAAAAAAAAGCTTTCTTTTGTGCTAATAGTCTCTAAAGCAAAGAATCCATCAAATATACAACAAAGATACTTGTTTTGACTCAGAAATTTTCCGACCAACAACTTTGCCCGATAATCCAAAGTGTTAGTTAAACAAATCAACAAGCCTCCAAAAGAAATTTCATCAAAAGAATGATAATATAATAATTCTTTTAAAATAAACGCCTACTCAACAATTTAAACACCAATAACCTAAATTAAGCAACTAGAAACTACAACAGACCACTCATAACAAATAATAAACCAAATACTCCAGCTTTATATAGATTCACACAACATGCAATGTAAATATATATCATGAAACATAAAATCAAAGCACGAGTGAATCAGAATACTAAAACAGTTTCTAAATCTAGAGAAGCACGAGAACGCACCAGTGCTGTTAACAAAAGTGAAAAAATTAGCGGACTCCGACATCACTGATACCGACGAATACGAACCCCTCAGATCTGAGCCAAACCGACGGCGAAATCGATCCCTAGACGAACACACACCTTGAATACGAAGAAACACTATGAGCAGAAAGCATTGGTGTGATCAAATGCGTGAGGATCGAACAGCTGTGGTGCCACAGGAATATGAACTGGTGGAGATCGAGAATTTGAAGACAGGAACGCCATTTTTGAGCTCTGAGAATGGAATCCTAGAGAGAGAAAATTGTGACTCTTTGGTAGAGAGAGAGACTGAGATGTCGTTCGGTTCACTCTGTTATCAGCAAAGCTTTTGATTACTCATTTTTTTACACTATATTTTTTCTTTCGATTTTTTTTTATTTTCCTTTTTATGTGAGAAGACAAAAGCGGAGCACGAGCTCTTGTTATATATATATTATTGTCTAGATAAATTATATTTATATACTAGTGTTTGTCTAACGTCAGCTTTGACGGAAAAGTAGTAACTAACGGTAAAAAACGATCAACGATAATCACGTCAACGTTAAAAGCCTATGTCAGTAGGCCGGTGAGATGGATACTCTACGGTGCCAGTCCAGGTTCGTCCCCCTGCACGATGCGTCCCAAGTTCCTTATTCTTTTTAAGGGTAAATTATGCTAACCTCTTTTTAGATTTGGCAAATTTTTTTTTTTTTAACCTGACAAACAGCAACAGCAGCCGCAATTAGCAAGACATACAATCCTTAGCTGCCAAATCAGACACCAATTTGGCTAGAAAGTTGACTCGGTGTGGGAGATCGGGTGGCCAGGTCCGTGGTTCACTTGATGTGCCCCGGCGGGGAGCAGTGGTTGGTCTGTGATGAGCGCAGGTGGGCATGCCAGGACTGTTCTAGAAGGTCGGTCCAGTTGCTTCTGCAATGAGCAGGTCTCAGTGAGACTTTCACATGTTCTACAGCTAAACAAAATTCATGATGTCGTATGGCCGCGGGTGACAAGCGTCGCTCTCAAGTGCCAAAATGTATGTGATACTGAATGCGGTTCAAGAAAGCCTTTTTGGTCAAATTTAAATTTATAAAAGCCAGTACCACTACTATTACTAACGTATCAAGAGTGAATAGGGATCGTCCCAAGGGATTTACAAGGTACTGCGGAATCAATATTAGATTAGTAGGTCGAATGATCAAAGAAGGGTTTTGGTTGGTTGAATTCACTAATGATTTAATTAAAAACATGCAAATGAAGATCAATATAGAGATTAAGGTAAAAAGAATGAGAGAAAGGTTTTGGGGCATAAAGTTCACCATTAAGCTTCGCTTCACTAAACATTAGTAATTGTCAATTTAAGGGAAATTTCATGTTGTAAAACAAATATGTGTGTGCGCCATTAATTGAAAAACTAAGCATGGATGGCAAATTAAGCATAAATTGTCTAATTAATCTAATGAGTAACACAACCTATCAAATTAAGCCATTAACCATTCAATAAATCCACAATTAATGCACACACAAGAATCTAGAGTAATGTACTACTTGCACTCATAAGCATGGATCATCAAATAATAAAAATGAATTGTCTACTTATCTAGAAAATTGAAGCAATTACACTACAACTATGCTAATGACATAGAAATTAAACTAATTAAGCTAAGGAGGTAGCATAATCCATCAAGAAATAAGCATGATCCATAAAAAAAATCACAAGAATAATCAATTAAACACCATGTCTTGACCATCACTAGATTTATAATTTCAACACACATAGACATGCATCAAACTCATAAAACCTAATGTAAGCACATGACTATTCATTCTAGCATACATAGACATATGGTTAGAAACAAAAGATCAATTGGAAGAATTAATTCATACAAATCATATATAAACTTAAGATCTATATAAATTCATGGTCAAAACATCATTTACAACTAAAATCCCCAAAAATTACAAAATATTAAGTTTAGGAAGCAAGCTTATGGGCTATTTCTAGCCCCAAGAGAATGATTTAGCCACTCATAATAATGGTTATGGAACCCTCAAGGATTTTCTTCAATGTAGGCACCATCTTCTTCCTCTTTGCTTTGCTCCAAAACCCTAGTTTTAGAGAGAGAAAATATATAAGAGCTATTTCTATAATTGGTAATAAAATTGTTAACTCTTGGAACTAAAATTGCTAACCCTATACAAATTGGTTCATTTGATTTATATATAAGCCTCTTTGAGTAGGCAACATGTCATAAATAAGGCCTTTGATTGGTGCAAACTCACAGCTACAAAAGTTGGTGGAGTTCGGGCGTGCTCGAGAATTAGACAGCTCACTGCCAGCCCTTGCTTCGATCGATCGAAACTGTCTTCGATCGATCAGACACTTACTTCGATCGATCAAAGCTGACATGGTAAGATATTTTGGATAGCTGGCAACCTTATCCATTGAGCTACCACCTTGATCTCAATCGATTGTAGCTTTCTTCGATCGATCGGGACTTCCTTTAATCGATCGAACATTGAACAGTGCAGTTTTTCTGATTTTTTCTGAATTTTCTTCTTAACTCCAAAACTGAGCTAAAAGGCTCTTTTTAGCCTGTTTGAATCTTATTGACCTGAAGTAAACAAAAACACAAATTAAAACTAAAACGAAAAAGTAAGATAGATAAATGGACTAAAATACCCTATCTTAGGTGCTAAAATGTATCACATTTGAGCACTTATCACACCCCTAAACTTAGATATTTTTAGTCCCTAGCAATGAACTATAAAAAAATAAAAATAAAAAAAATAAACAACTATACAACTATGAAGAAAGCAATAAAAGGATAGCGCCACTTTCGTTGGGAACACAATTACATTTAGCATATATAACAAGCCTTTTAAACCCCTAAGTTACCCCTAGCAGACGAGTGAAGTCTCGTGAGGGTTTCTAGAAATAATACCCTCAAACATTAAGTTCTTTCTCACTAAAGAGGCACCAATATACAAAACAAGTATTGTGAGAAAACTATCTCAAGTATGCAATTTTTCAACCATCTCCGGGCAATCTTCAAAATTTCAACACCAAGTAAACAAGTATGGTTCTCCACACATCAAGATAATGATTATGTAAATCAAAACAACTCTAGAATTCTTTTTAAGTGAATCGATATCAAATATGTTATTATCTAAGCCAACTAAAAAAATGATCACATCCGGTCTCAAGTTAGCACACAAATCTAATACTGATCATCAAGACAAAGAATGAACCTTTTATTAAAATTTTAATCAACTAGGTGCACTTATTCTTTTCACTTGATTTTATTTATTTATTTATTTTATTTATTTTTTATTTTTTATTTTTTTATATAGGATCAAAGATAAAAGCATGGTGCAATGTAGTGATCTCTTAAACTTTCTAGAAGATTCATGAGATGAGCGTTACGTCAATGACTCCCAAACCGGACAACTTTAGGGCATTAGGTGTAGAGACACCCCTAAAGACTTACAAGCTCAAATCAATTAGGCTACAAATCAAAACAACCTTTATCTAATCATTTCTTACTCCCCACCTTTGGTAAGAAGTCCTCACTTGTTTGCTTTTGCAAATTTGCATTTTTTTTTTTTTTTTAAACCTAGAGTTTGGGCTCTCCACCTTTCGGCGTGTGAAATTCAATACTTGATGAGGCTAGAATCCCGACTACTTAGTGAAAATGGTTTGTTATCCACCTTTGTCAAAAATGAAAGTTTTCAAAGCACTACTAGCTCAATTGGGATATAACCAAATCAATAATCAACAAAGCATATACCCTACAAATGAATGCTAGTGTGCGCCTGTAGAATCCTAGAGTGAATCTTAAAACAATCACAAAATGTGATACCCTTCGACTCCGAGACATGGGTTGATCAGGCCCAAGCACAAACCCGATGAAATATCGAACAATTAAAGGATTTAAACGAACACATAATACAAAATAAAAGAAGAATAAAGTTAAAAGAATACTAATTAATAAATCTTCATTAATTAATCCAATAATAAACCTCTAATAACAAAATCCTCTGATACTAGTAATTAATTAAAATTATAACTTGAAAATACATCATGTGGACCCCTAATCCAAAATCCAACTGAAATAAAATAATATCTGACTAAAACAATAATAAGGAAATCCTACGTTAAGACGGAAGAGTGAATAAATCGTCTCTGCTCAGCATAAACAATCTCTAAGCCTAGAACTAACGAACACCTGAAAAATAATGGTAGGTCAGGTCCACAAACAAGTTCTAATCTATTACATCTCAAATAGAGACTCAGAACTCATATACATCATAGTCAATCCAACAATAACTACATAGTCCATATATATATATACACCCACACTAAAGGAACCTCACTATACTATAGGGTTATCTAAACCTGAATAGTAGACAACATGCAAAACGCATATATAGTGAGCAGAAGTACCTAAACCTATCAGGGTACACAACTACACTACATCTAGGTACACATCCCTGATAATATACGCATCCTAACCATAATCCTAAGACTCAAGCTCATATTATGGCATATAACTATTTATATATAATCCATCTTATCCAAACGTAAAATAAATATCCGGTATGTCATTCAACTGATTCAGTTGACCTAACATGAAAATATGTAGGATTTAACATTTCAGCTAATCCATTCTGTTATACGTGAATAGGTAGGACTTAACGTTTTTAGTTAATGCGTCCCTAATATGCCGCCATCCCATAATGGTACATATAATGCATACAATTCATAAATGATGCTACAGTTATAATATCACATCAAATAAATTCATACATAGAATGATATAAATCATACAGATATTCCTTTGCATTTAATTGAGTAAAATATAACAATTCAAAGTAGCATGCATTTAATTTATCTCATAAAAATTAGCATGCATCTCAAATAATTGTACTTTTACACAATCTGATCAAATTTATTTAAAAACCAAATAATTGATTAAAATAATTTAATCCAATCATATTTAATTAATTTAACCTTTTAAATTAATTAAATTTCATACTTAGCATGTATACTTAAATTATGTTTTTACAATCATCCATAATCTAATTTAACAATTTAAAAATCATTAAAACAGATTAAACAATATATATACACACACAGTGTACAAAACCCATTACATAAATTATATATACTGTAATTTCAGAGTTCATCATGCAAATAGGTTCAATTAATTAAATTAAATATCCTAGAATTAATCTAGGTCTGTACAGTATATGAATCAAAGGGGAAGAGAAAAAAAGAATTTGCCTTTAAGGATTTGATAAAAACCCTAGCCCCCTTCTTCCTCTTTCTCTTCCTTCTTTCTCTTTCTAAACCCTCTGCCTTTTTTTCCAAAATATAATACGTGATTTATTTCTAGCCCCTTTATACAAACATATAGTTATA